TAATCGAAAATTGTTTATCGATTTGTTAGGAAGCATATATTTACATACAAACGTATTTTGTTTGGCTGATGTAAACACGAGTCGTACGAACCATAGATTGTCATCAACGTCGCCAACGTTGTCGTCTTGATTGCCATTCAAATCAGGTGCGAAAATTATCATAGGAGGATTGCCGGCAATTTCAACTTGGTTTGTACGACAACCTGTAAACGAAAATAGGAAAGTAGACAAAGCAACAACAACAACATCATCAACAAAAAAAAGAAGGCTCACCACCTAATCGATCTCTACCTACACGAACGAAAATGGTAGATTACCGGTTTTGGGTATTTATGGTGAATTGATTGTCCAGAATACAGAGATGTCGATGTCGAATGGAATTGTGGGCGATTAGAGAATTTCATGGATTAAAATGTTCAAAGATGATTAGTTCTGCCCATTAGTCTGGAATATTTTTCCGCAAACTTTTCTGAACAAGCAAAGCGCAGCAACAACTTGAGAGCTGTATGCGCCGAATAACCCAATCTGGATTATCAGTAGGTTGAAACAAATGAGTTATTCTTTAAAAAAACAGAGCAAAAGAACAAACATTTTCATTACTCGTACCATCGTTCGTTACCGTGATACTAGTAGCGTATCACGACGTCAAGGAAGTGGACGGAAGAAAACAGCAACATCAGCAGAAATGGTTCGAAAATTAAAGAAGCGACTTGATCGAAACCCGCGTCGCAGTGGCCGAAAAATGGCTCGTGAGCTGAACATATCGCAATATTCCATTCGGCAAATATTGAAAAATGAGCTCGGGGTAAAGCCATTGGAATTCCAAAAAATAAAAGAATTTACACCGCAACAGAAAGAATATAAACTCAAAAGAGCTAAAGAGTTGCTTCGCTTGGCCGAAAGTGGTGAACTGCCGAATTTGGTTTTCTCCGATGAGAAAACATTCGTTGTCCAGCAGTTTGTTAACAAACAAACTGATCGTGTTTACTTGCCAAAGAGGTCAGCTGGAAATGTGCACCTCCGGTTGGCCACCAGAACTCAAGCGCCGGCCATGGTGATGGTGTGGTGTGGGCCGCCATTACAGCCGATGGTCGCTCTCCGCTCGTATAATCGACCGTAGCATCGGAATAAATGCCGAATATTATCGCGAAAATATTTTTGAGGGTGTATTAAAGCCTTGAGCACGCAAACATTTTGGCCGCAGACCTTGGACATTCCAACAGGACTCAGCACCATCGCACTCAGAACGCGCCACTCAAGATTGGTTACAAAATGAGGTTTCCCGTTTCATTTCCAGCGCACACTGGCCACCAAAATCTCCGGATACCAATCCGTTGGACTATTGTGTCTGGAATATTTTGGAAAGCAAGGTTGGCACTAAAGAATACCAAAGTGTCGATCATTATACAGTTATACCGTTTCCTTTGACTTTTTTGAGTTTTACCAATTTTTGAGGTGTTAAAAATTAGTTGGTAATTTAAGACCAGCCACCATCTAGTTTACTGGCCGCAAACAAAGAATCTAAAGCCGTTAGTATATGTGGACAAAGATACCTTGGTATTTTTATACAAGAAGGTATCTTCATTCTGGATAACTTAAAATTTAAATCTACTACCTTCAAAGTATTTTAACCCTTTTTATAGGGTTATATCAGAAGGTGGACCTGCATTACTAATTTATGTAGGATATATTTTTTTTTAAATTATTTAGTAAAAAATGATTCTGAATCTCTATATTTTGGCGATAATAATACCAATGCATTCGGACAGTTATGTTGGTCAGAACTCAAGATTTCCTTTTTTTTAGTTATTCGGCTGACAACTTATCTCAATATGAGCTGCTGGTGCCACCACCATATTTAAGATGCCTGATAGAAAGAGATTTAGTGATCCTTATCTTATCGTATTTCATATATGGATACATACTGAATTGCCACTACCAGCAGTCCTCTTGGTTATTTCCCTGGTCATTTGTGTTCGCAACTCCTATTTTCATGGAATAAATTAAGGATCCCTACGACAAGAAGTGATTATTATCAACAACATTCTATGCCAAGATTGCCTTCATCTATCGATTTTAAGTCATTGAGTGATTGGGGCACTCCCTCTTAAACACAAACGATTTTCTTCTTGGCATGATGTACAGAATCTGACAAGAGCTTTTAGGGTAGGACAAAAGGAAATTTCTATTTCTTTAAAATTTGATGGAAGATTAATCCATGTTACCGAAGAACATATTTAACAAAAAAGATCCGTTTCAGATAAATAGTTCTGAAAAATGCGGGAGTCGGTTAAAAATGAAATATTAAGGGAGACTTTTGACTTGGACCAGTAACAAACGTTCCTTTTTTCACTTGATATATATAATTTAAAAGAACAGTGTTGGCTTGTTTGTTCGGGATAGCGTCGTATTTTGTTGTTGCAAATGGTCAGGTTATAAAAACAACATTTGTTTGCTAGTGGAGAACGATGGTAATGTTTACCAGGGGGTAAGGCAGGGAATACCTAGGTTTCGGAAAGAGCCACCAATCCTCATCAGTTCCCTTGTTTTTTGTCTGGGATATCCTCCCTTCCCTCTTTTAAAAACTATTAATCTTAGATATATATAGGATATTCTGAGATTCGCCGTTTAAAAATATTTCATTCGGCACTTTTTACCTAAAACGGAATTTAATGTTACTTTCATGCCTCAACTCGAAAATAATTCGATAAAAAATTGATCAAAAATTATGATATATTTTCAAATATATTTTTGTATACAGAGTGAGATAAAAAAAAAACTGCAATAAAGTCAAACGCCATAATTTTTACATTTGTTTTTAAATTTTATTGAATGAAAGCAAAAAATGTCGGAAATAGCATCAAATTTTAGAATAAGTTTAGATTTGTTCGAATTGGTCACCTTTCGCACGAATTATGGCTTTCAAACGGACAATGAAACCGTCACACGCTGCCCGAATGTTGCTCTGCGATGTTTTGGCCCATTCTCGGCGAAGCACTTGCTTGAGGTGATCGACACTTCGGTATTTTTTAGTGCCAGCCTTGTTAAAATACACACACACAATAGTCTAACAGATTGGCGCGTGCTGGGTGCGATGGTTCTGAATCGTGTTGGCATGTCCAAGGTCTGCGGCTGTTATGGCGGACCACATCATCACCATCGCCGGCGCTTGAGTTCTGGTGGCCAACCGAGGTGCACATTTTCATCTGACCTCTTTCGCAAGTCAACACGATCATTTTGTTTGTTTACAAACCGCTGGACAACGAATGTTTCTTATCGTAGAAAACCAAATTCGGCAGTTCACCACTTTCGGCCAAGCGAAGCAATTTTTTAGCTCTTCTGAGTCTATTTTTTTTTCTGTTGCGGTGTAAGTTCTTGCGCTTTTTGGAAGTTCAATGACTTTACCCCGAGCTCATTTTCAATATTTGCCAAATGGAATATTGTGATATGTTCAGCTCACGAGCCATTTTTCGGTCACTACGACGCGGGCTTCGATCAAGTCGCTTCTTTACTTTTTCTTCCGTCCACTTCATTGTCGCCGGGCTACGCTATCAGTATCACGGTAATGACACAAAATATTTATTCACATTGAAATGGTGGAGTACTCTAACGATAGCCACTTGTGGTTCTCCAGCCAAATATAAAGAAATCACACTATCACGCCTAAATTCCATCACGGATAACATTTTTCTGGAAAGTTCTCACCAAAATGCTTTTGTACGCTTGTAAACAATATAATGAGCTGTCGCTGGAATAATTTTATCAGCTGTCGGACGATTGGCTTAGAAATGACAGCAATCTGAAGTTGCTAGCAGCTATTTCATCTCACCCTGTATACCCTCTCTAGCCATATGCCATATATCGGGAGGTACCGTTATATAGGGGCTACACCAACACGTGCACCTATAATTACAATGTTTCGCCACACGAACTAGGACCCGTTGTGACCTACAAATACCAATTTTCAGACAAATCCGTGAAAAAATGTGGCATAAATCATCAAAATACCGAATATCGGTAGGTACCGTTATATGGGGGCTATACCAAAACGTGGACCTATACATGCAATGTTTCGCCACACGCTCAGGGACCCGTCATGACCTACAAATACCAATTTTCAGATAAATCCGTGAAAAAATGTGGCATAAATCATCAAAATACCGAATATCAGGAGGTACCGTTATGTGGGAACTATACCAGAACGTGGACCGATATATCTCATTTTCAATACCAATCATCCTAGGGACAATACACACACTTGTGCCAAATTTCAAAGGTCTACGTCAAATAATGTGGGCTCTATCGTGATTTCAACAGACAGACAGACAGACGGACAGACAGACAGACGGACAGACAGACAGACGGACAGACAGACAGACAGACAGACAGACAGACAGACAGACAGACGGACATCGCTAAATCGTCTTAGAATTTTATGCTGATTATGAATATATATACTTTATGGGGTCTACGACGAATATTTAGAAGTGTTACAAACGGAATGACAAAGTTAATATACCCTCCTACCCATGGTGGAGGGTATAAAAAATACAGAACGAGACGATTGCAAACGTTTCAAATAGTTTATTTTCGTACGCTGCTGTTAACAAGTTTCAAATAATTTCAACGACAATAACCTCAACCATTTGCAATATTAAGTCAATATCTCTAGACAAATTGATTGAAAACAAAAGTGATTCTCACAATTAATTGTTAATTGAAAATAAAATCCCCGAAATAATTTCACAATTTTATTTGCTTAAATTCTGTGCAACCCACCACAACAACAGTCTCTCGAGAGTTCCGAAATATTGAAATGTCTTCTTCTTCTTCTGTTCTGGTTGACAAGTCTTCCTTCACTCAATCTTTTCGTTTCAATAAAATTTATTGTGAAAAATCTACTTTCGTGCCGTTAAGTGCGGCAAAAGGCAAAATTCCATGGGGGAATTTCACAAATTTACATTCATTCATTCGTTCGTTCATACTTATGTAGCTTTTAATTTTGGTAGCGTGTTGTTTGTTTGAGAACCTCAGGCTAGCGGCGGATACAATCAGCCATAAAGATATACGGAGCTGTTTTAAGCATTTGCTGTTGGATTTATTGCCGAGTCATTGTGTCATCATCGGTGATCGATGATCTGCGTGAGTGTGTGTGTGTGTATGTGCGAGTGTGCAAAACTGAGCGAAAAATGAGGTTCTTAAGCGTGTCTAGATTCCAAAATAATCATCAGCCTCAAAGCCAACTACGACAACAATAGACGTTCCATTGTTGCCACTACATTCACGAATTCGAATTCCCTTTGATAAATAATCGCTTAAGAATTATGGCCCCCATTGGCATGCAAATTGTAAAGCCAACAATGAGGGACCATTCTGACACGGATACTAGGGTTGGGCACCACTCCAGCGGCATTTGCATCAAATAATATTTCACAACTTATTCCACGACTAGGCGGGCGATAACAATAATGGCATTCCTTTATCTTTGCAGGACAATAAATAGCAGAATACCTCATTAAGGATGGTGGAGGAGAAGTCATCGCTGACGGACCCCAACAATGCGGTCGTCTACAAAGCAACAACAAAACCAAAGAAACAAAAGCGAAGAGACAAAAGTGACTTGGGACCGGATTTTGTGGCCCCCGATGGTGGCTGGGGATGGGTGGTGTGTCTGGCAGCGGGTTTCAGCAATGTAAGTGGATTGACAGACCGACCAGTCCGGTTAGCCCATGGAATGTGTTAATAATATTATGATCTTTATTTTCCAAACAGTTCTCATTATTCCCACCCCTGCAACAGTATGGCCTGATCTACAGACAGCGCATGGCGTCCTTTAACTTTGATGCCAAACAAACGACCACAATTGTGAATGTGGTTATGGCCATATCCTCGCTGGTGGGTTTGGTAAATGGAGCAATGTTCCGTAGATTTACATTCAGACAGGTTGCTTTGGCCGGCAGTCTTTTGGGATTTGTGGGAATTTTTACATCGGCCTTTTGCAGAACCTTTGTCCAATATTTGATAAGCTTTTCCTGTATTTATGGTAAGTTCGAAATGCATGCGCCCACATTTTTATCATTTAATGTCCTTCATTTTATTTTCTCCACAGGCATTGGTTTGGGTCTTTCAATGGCTGCCAGCTCTCTGGCTGTGAATACCTACTTCAAAAACAAACGCAGAAAGGCCACTGGATTTTCATGGACCATCACTGGGCTTGGACCCATCATATTCCCTCACATATCGACCCTCTTACTGGCCTACTACGGCGCCCAAGGTTCCATTCTGATCTACTCGGCAATCTCGTTGAATGCTTTCCTGTGCGCCATAACATTCCAACCTGTGCTATGGCATTCACCCAAACCGGAAGAGGAGAAATTAAAGGAAGCCAATGGCAACACTATTGCAAATGGAACTATACCTTCCAAGGATCCCACAGACCACTTTGAATGCAAATACTGCCAATATCAAAAGAGAGAAAAGAGAAGCATTTTCTCGTCGCAATATCTCTTCAACGACGATGATCCAGAGAAGCCAGGCTATGAGATCATAGAACCAGGCACCCCCATGATGGCTCGGGCCAACGACGGCTGGTATGGGTCAAAGCTGTCCTTGTCAGAGAAGAAAAGTGCCCGCTACAGATCCATAAAGGGCCTCAAATACATAGACAGTTGTGAGGAGGGCAACGAACATGCGGAACACCAGGATAATTCTCTCTATAAGCCTAACTATTTCAATCGGGAGCGAGAGGAATTAGACCGTTATGCCAGCAAATTGAGCATCTACTCCAAGGCAGATGGCTTCCATTGCACCTGTGCCGAAGAGAAAGCCTTGTTGCAAAATAAATCGGAAGCAGCCAAGAAGGAGGAGGAGGCATTGAAAGAAGCCCAGCTCGAAGAGGAGGAACGCATTAAGAGCCGCATGACTATCTGGCAAAAAATTGTTACATTTTTCGATTTGGATCTGTTGAAGGACTTTACATTTGTCAATTTGGCCGCCGGCATGACCATGATGATGTTCGGCGAAATGAATTTCTCCGTTTTGACGCCGTTCATCTTGAACAGTTTCGGTTATTCGGATACTCAGATTTCCTTGGCCATGTCGTTGTTGGGTGGCATGGACATTGCAGTGCGGTTCCTGGCACCATTCGCCTTGGAAAAGGTCAAACTGGACAATCGGGTTCTGTTTGCTTTCGGCATCATCTCCATATCCATAGGACGTCTCATTGTCACGCTAACGGACTCGTACAATGTGGTGTTGGTTGTGTTCCTCTTGATTGGATTCGGCAAGGGTTTCCGCACCATATTCTCGCCGTTGATTATACCCAGTTATGTGCCGCTAAATCGTCTGCCAGCTGCCTCGGGCATTCAATTGATTTTCAATTCCATCTTTTCCTTCGCTTTGGGTCCATTGCTGGGTAAGATTCCAAATCTGATTATCGTGGAAAAAGCTCTCTATAATCTCGTTCTCTATTTCCAGGTCTCATAACCGATACGTATGGCTATGCCGTCACGATTCATTGCATCAACACCCTGACATGTTTGGCGCTGTTGTTCTGGTTGCTCGAATCGACAATCCGAAGAAGTATTGGCAAAAAATCCCCCACCCCTGAATCTTGAAACCACCGAATTAAACTTCATCAAGCTGTTGGTCGGCTTCAAAAACTGTAAATAGTGAATTTAGAATAAACCTAGTTTTTAGCTTAGAAGAGAGAGAGAACGAGAAGCGAAATCGCTGACCGCTAGCTGCTGGCTGCTGCTTGGCATTCAAAGGCCTCGATTACTTATCCGCAGACAAACGAAATGAATTGTAAAGTTTTACAGCTCTAATTTATTTGTTTTCAATTTTTATAAAGCTTTCTCGCATAAACTACTTAGGCTCATAGTTTATTATGGATATGAAATTTAAATTTACTTAGTAATTTATTAGAAGATAAGCGAACAAAAACAAAACAAAAAAATGGCATTCATAAACAATGGGACACTTTTAGTTCCCTCGAAGTGATTACAAAAAAAAGACGTAGATACATACAAACAAATGCATGTGCACAACAGAAAGAAATAAAGAAAGAAAGAAAACGGAAATAGAATTAGAAATTCCAATTGTTGGCGTTTTTTTCAATGGATAGTGGTTTTCTATAATGTTTTTTTTAATCTATTCACTATAAATTATACTGCGGGTTGAGTTTTTGGGTGGCTGGAAATTTTGTTCGTTTTCGGGTAATGGAAGATCTTAGTGAGTGTACAAATTCCGAAGTACATATAGGCAATAAGTCCATTTATGTTGTGAAATGATACATTTAGCTTGGAGACCATTTAAAATTGGCTAATTTTAAGATAATTAGTCAAAAGGAAGGAATGGAGTGGATTGGTATCCGGAGATTTTGGTGGCCATTGTGTGCTGGAAATGAAGCGAGGAACCTCATTTTGTAATCATTCTTGGGTGGCGCGTGCTGAGTGCGATGATGCTGAATCCTATTGGAATGTTCAAGGTCTGCGGCCAAAATGTTTGCGTGTCCAAGGCTTTAATACACCTCCAGAATATTTTCGAGATATTATTTGCCATTTATTCTGCTGCCACGGTCGACAAATACGGTCGGAGAGCGACCATCGGCTGTTATGGCGACCCACACCATCACCATGGCCTGCGTTTGAGTTCTGGTGGCCAACCGAAGGTGCACATTTCAGCTGACCTCTTTGGCAAGTAAACACGATCATTTTGTTTGTTTACAAACTGCTGGAGAACGAAGCTCTTTTGAGTCTATTTTCTTTCTTTTGCGGTGTAAATTCTTTCAGTATTTGGAATTTCAATGGTTTACCCCGAGCTTATTTTTCAATATTTGCCGAATGGATTATGTTCAGCTCATGAGCCATTTTTCGGCCACTGCGACGCGGGTTTCCATCAAGCCGCTTCTTTACTTTTCGAACCCTTTCTGCTGATGTTGCTGTTTTTTCCGTCCACTTACTTGTCACTGGAATAATTTTAACAGCTGTCGGATAGGTGGCTTAGAAATGACAGCAGTCCGAAATTGGTTGCAGTTTTTTCATCTCACCCTGTGTAGTTCCTCGTTTTCGAATATCCCCCAAAAATGTACAACCTCGGTATTTTAATAATTTATTTCTAATAGGTTCTTTTTTCTCCCAGGCACTTTTAAGATTTTACCCATATTTTTCGTACCAAATAATAGTCCATGCTGATATGATTGATTGCTGAGAAAAAAAAATATTCTGCTTTTTTGCTCCATAATTCATTCAATAGTAGCAAGAATACGGAGGTATTCTTTTATGGTATACACTCATCCACATTGAGTATAATCGACGAATTCATTTCTCCACAGATAAGTATAATGTGGAGATTTTGTTATTTGATCGTTCCAAACTAAAAACTTTTGAATCACATAATCCTAAAAATATGCTATTAAAATAAAAATATAAAATGTGCTGGCCTTTTAAAAGGTTTAACTGATTTTGAAATATATAATCAAAAATCCATAATATTTTGTTAATCTATATTGGGCCATAAAATATGTTTGAATTAATTACAAACCGCTTCTAAAAGAATAGCACAAACAAAATTGTTGACATTTTAACTGTCTCAACATGACTGAGAGTTGGCACTGAGTGCGCAGGTTCCATACTCTAACCCATAAAAAAGGGAAAACAAAACACTTTCTCTTTAAACAACAACCGTGGCTGGTTAAGAGGATTGAATTTTCAATACTTTGTCTCTTTTCTGCTTCGTGTGTATCGTGTATTTGCAAATTCGATTTACAATTCCCACCAGACGCCACATTTATTAACAGCAAAACTCTCGATTATCGGTGCTACCAAGAATAATGCGACTAGAATTAGTCGGTAAATAGTTTTGGACCCATCAACATGTCCGGTGGACTGCAAGTCGTCGACGGTTTCTGATACTTTGCTGTCGTGTAGTGCAAGCACTGGTGTCGTCGCTGTGAATGTCATTAAAGAAAATTTCAAATTCATTCATAGATTTTCCTCCCTCGGTTTACATAAGAGCCATATATCGTCGGGAAATACCGAGAAACGTTGAAAAAATTACATTTTCCTTTCGAAAGGCATGTGATACGCGGATATTTCCTGTGATAACACAAAATAATTAACAACAACAAATAGTTTTATATGGTAATACATTTCTCGATGTCATCAAAAATTCATATGCACCCAAAAATAATGTTGGAAACCTTGAACTTGCAACGTCACTTGAAGAACATCCCATGATATATTCAAGACCAAACACCGCAACAAAAAAAAAAAAAAAATCGGTGGCTATGCGAACAACAAACCAAAACAAATTATTCAACAAGTGTGGAAAATGAGAAAGTGGCGAAACAAATAGTGAATGTTGTGATTGACATAGAATAGAAAAATAGAAGGCGGACATATGACGTTCTAACAATGGACGCAAATAATGAATGACAAATTGCATGTCCTTCCCCCTTCTCAGCCGCTTAGTTCTCAGCGTCACGGGAATGTTTGGTTGTATGAAAACAAGTTTGAATTGTAAATATTAAAAGTGAATACCTTTAGAAATGCACGTAATTTAAATATTTCAAGAAAAAAACTAAATTTGAGTGGAAATTTACTTTTCGAAGATTTAAAATCCGTTAATAGAACGTTGTAGTGCTTAATATTTCACAATGATAATAAATTCAACTTTAAGCAAAGAAAAGGGCATTGCCCTTTGCAGACAAACTGTTGACGAAACAAACATCACAGTGAGGGTGAAAAGTACATGTTTATGAAAAAAAAGGAGTCCAACGATGCCCTTGGCCAGTAGATATTGGAATAACAACAACAAGAGATTCAAATATATACTCTGATAACTGGTGTAATCTTAATTAAAAAATGGATTAAATAACTGGCGTAGTCAAGTGGGACAATTTCAGGAGGAATGGGGCATAACTTGTATATATATGATTATAAGGAAATATTCGTTAATCGAGGGAGAGAGCAATTCAATTTAGAAGGAAAATAGGCCCATGAGAACGGAAAGATTTGTCAAACGAGTGCTGCCTTTATAGCTGTGACTGTGTCAGATGTCATTTCGTTTTCAGTGATTTTAATTTATAAGGAATAGTGGCAATTTAGAACCATTATATAGAGATGTATGGGGATGGGGGACAATATTAAAGCCTAAATCAATATATTGTCCATATTCCATATCATTTTAAAACCTGTTGATGGTCGCGGACATGTTGTATTCAAACTATCCACAAAAGGAAACGAGTCCGTAGGTGGGCTACATCATTCCACATCTTGGTTTATAGCAGAACCACCAACTTTTAGAGATATTCAAATACTGTCAACAAATTTTTGTGGTGCACGGCATGAAGTCTATCTGAAATTCTGTACCATAAATAGCACACAGGATATACCAAATGTGATTTCCATGTGTAACAATTTGGAATAATATAATTTCAAGCATATAATGCTACAGGAGTAGAGCTTCACATAAACCCTAAATGTGGTTAAAATAATAAATATAACAGTGTGGCTTGTTTGTTCGGGATACCGTAGTATTTTGTTGTTGCAAAGTGGTCAGGCTTTATCCCTTTATTGTTGTTTTTATAAAAACAACGTTTTTTTATTAGTGGAGAACGATGGTAATGTTTACCAGGGGGTAAGGCAGGGAATACCTAGGTTTCGGAAAGAGCCACCAATCCTCATCAGTTCCCTTGTTTTATGTCTGGGATATTCTCCACAGAAGTTATTTTAAAAGTAACTTCTATGACAAAAAACATTTTTTACCCAAGTGACGAGATCGTAAGCTCAATAGAAGAGGAACCAAAGAATTAAATAAAACTAAAATTGTTTTGGAAAGTCTTCTAAATCTTACAACCGCACTTATAAATAATAATATAATAAATATATCGAACATCGGAAGATACTGTAAGGTGGGCGCTATAGGGAAATTTAGAATGGGTAATATTCGACCATCAAAATAACAATAACAAATATTTAATTTTAAACGGAAGTCCGAAAGATAATTTAGCTAATATCGCTAAAAATACCGAATAACCCAAGATATCGTTTTAGAAGGGCTAGAGGAAAAATGTGGAGCTACATAGAAAAATGTTCGGTGACCGGACTATAACAAAAACTTCATACCAAATTAGAAATAATTGTGTCTAAAATCATAAAAATTCGGATTATGGGGAAATACCTATATATTAAGATATACCAAAACGTGGACTGATATAGAATCTGCCAATTTTTTTACTTTGCTGAAAATTGAGTGTAGGTTCGGCTGAGTGACACTTAGCGCCGACCTGTTAAAACCAATAGTTTCCAATATCCTCCTCTTCAAGGTCCGATAACGTAACGGCCACTCTATGCCAGAGCTCAGATTTGCTCATTTTTACTCGGGAGCAAAACTTGCTCGCGAGCAGGATTACTCAAAGTCTGGGAGTTTTTTAGGGAATCTACTCTTTACTATCTTGTTTTGTCTGGGAGAACTCCTGTTGGAAAAATAATAGTAGTGTACTTTAAAGGGAGGGAGGCAGGGCGTTTGATCGTGTACAAAATTTATTTCGATGATTGTTTTTGATTTGATTGTTTTTGTTACGTTTGCAGCAGGTGGTTACAAAAATACACACACGCACATAGCAACACAACTCTTTGCTGATCGGCAAGAGTAGATCGCTTGATTTTGAAAAAAATTTACTCCCACTCAAAAAGCAGAAAATCATGCTCACTCCTATTCGAGTGACATCGAAAAAATGAATTTCTTTTCCGCTTCCAGGAGTGCACTCGCTCGAATTCGAGTGATTTTCACTCTTTGAAAAAATTTGAGCGAGCTTTTCGCTAGTCTGCCATTTGCTCATTTTCGACGAAAAACGGCCCAATTATGTCTCTGGGAAAAAATTCGCACCAATCAGTTGTTGGTTTTGGGTTCATCAGCTTTTCAACATATGCGTGCGGGTTTTCTTTGTCCCAAATTTAAAAACTTTGTTTGTTTACATACGAAGCTGACCCATCTCTTCCAAAATCTGTAAGCAATTTTCGCACACATAATTCTGCAACATAACCATGATTTTTAAAGAGAAGACTTCTACAGACGAAGAACGCTAAATCGACTTAGAATTTTATGCTAATCACGAATACATTTGTTTTATGGGGCCCCGGGCGAATATTTAAAGTTGCTACAAACGGAATGATAAATGGAACTGGGTATGGATCCCAATCAGGTTTTAGATGCTCGATTTTACCAGGCTCCTCCTTGAAATAGTGTTGAATGACATTCAAATTTTAATTTTCTAATTCTCGAGATTGTGCATATGATGTGTAAATTGTTAATGACGTATGTGATTCACCACTCGTCGTAATTTGGAAATTTTTGCCACATTGTAACAAAATATCTTCCAACACTTGACACACACTGTAACTTCAACTCTTGTGAACGTGTGTGTGTGTGTGTGTGTGGTCGGTCTTGTGCTCATACTGGTGGCAATAGTTGTCGCGATGGGTTATCATTTGTCAATACCAATAATCAAAACTGATACCAATTTCCACAAGTGCCAAGTCCTCTTATCGGCATATTCCGATAGTAGAGGCCCTGCTTTTGTTTGTTGTAATTGTTAAAACTCCAATAACATGATCCAAATACCAACAGAAAGAAGGTGGTCAAATGGAAAGAATTAACCCATTGGTGGCACCATTTAGGGTGTTCTCAATTCTCGACACACAAATGCAATGCACCAATATTGCCAATCATCATTTTAGTGGTCAGACGAAAGAATGAAAAAAAAAACACTGCCCGGCTCTCCAAAACTTGTTGACATGCATTTTGTTACAATCGATTTAAACTGTTTTCCAGCGACAATGTAACTTGAGAACCATGGCCAACTGCAAAGTTGCTGGGTTTTATTTCCACGATAGACAATCAATTATGACGCACTGACACTTTATTGGGTCGTGACAATTCAAGACGCTGACGACGATGAATCAGAACAAAAGAAGAGACCATTTTAATTTAAAGCGGAATATATTTTAAGGTATTCACTTAATTGCCGGTAATATGTTTAATATGCCACAAATATGTTTTGATTGGATAGTTATTTTAAGAATTCAGGTGTACTCACCTTTCGGTTGTTTTATTGGATTTATGGATTTGAATAAAATCTAGAAATAAAATGTAAATAAATGCATTTAAGAAAGTGATTCTGGATGAAACTTATAATGAGATGTTGTGATGTGTTTGAAAAATAATTTGAGTTGAAAGCAGAATTCGGTAGAGTGATGAGAAACGGTAGTCGTAGTGTAGGTTATGTGATACCTCCCACCATATTTAGCAGTTACCCGTAACAAATAATCGATTTTGTCAGAATTTGTGTGAAGTTCGTTATTGGGGACTATACGACCTGCTTACCAAATTTTTTGTCATATACTGTAGTATTTGCAAAAATGTCGAACGATCTTTACGTTATCTAAACAGTGAATTATTTTCTATGAAAATGTTTACTTTTTGTGGGGGAGGGACCAAAAGGAATGGATCATGCGGAGTTTGATTACCCGCGAGCTTCAGTCTGACTCTAAAAAGAGTTGAAGTCATGGTCCTAATATTACAGTGACCTGTAATTAAGCCTACTACAAGCATTAGGTCCAATTTCGCCATGGAAATGAGTCATAGAGATCTCCAAACTTCGATCTTAGTTTAACAATAATATTGCAATGTTTGAAGTTGTGATCAAATCATCGGATACTTCCTGCGAAAGTTATCGTGCGCACCAGCCAGACGGGCATCCCTATTTCCTGAAACGGACTTGGTCGAAAGAGACCAATGGTCTAAAAATGTCATTTCGGTGAGACCATATTTCCCGTATCAAATGATAAATACCCTTTGTATCTGTATGGCTGAGAGTATAAAAAACATCAAAAAAGTGAAACCTGATCAATGTTGACAAATATATATTTCATCCTCCAATTCAATCTAAGCTTTTTACATACATACTTCCTTCGTCTTATGTGAGATTCAGATTCCTCAAAATTTCTAAATTTTACGGCGGAAGATACCGGGAGTCATGCCATTTAATTTAATTTAACTAATATTAGAATGTGTATGAAAAATTAATCATTCAAAATGTTGACCCTTTGTGAGGGTCGTATAATATGGAGTAGTCCAATTTCATACCTATTTTAAATCAGGCACATATGTCAGTTAAATACCTTCGTTTCCTACTATAGATACGTTTTTAAACCCTCAGTCCGCCAATGTGTACCTTATCGGAATAACGACCTTTTAACAAATGTCTCTTTGGACTAAAATTTGATCTAATGAAAAGTTGAAATATGTAGGTCCAATCTCTATATTACGTCCCCAACCGAAAAGTATTTACCGATATTGCACTGCTTTGATCCCGATTAAAGTCTGATAAAAATAGGGCTTTATCATGTGTACCAGTCGGCCAAATAAACGGACGCACATGGCGCGATAGTATCTAACACCTTGAAATGGATGTCGTCCAAAGATACTAACGATATATACCCTCCGTAGCCGTAAAGCTAAGGTTATAAAAATAGGCAAGTTGTTAAAAAAATATTTTCTAAAGTAATTAATTCAAATATATGTGGCCAAAACAGATGAAAACGGCATTTTTTTTATAAAAACAAAGTAATTTTTAATAAATGTTTAATTCTAATTTTCGTCGAAGGCTTTTTCAACCTTCTGATGTGACGTTTCTAAAAGAGAACGTTACTCACTTCTCAACAAATCATAACATATAAATAAAAGCACATCCCTCGTAAAAAATCGTTCTTCTATTAGCTCTTTTAAGAGAAACCCCAAAATCAAATATCATCACGTTCTACAAATTATACCGTGTGACAACAACCGAAAGATTAGCGCTATAATTCCCAATACGTACACGAAAAAGATTAGCAGTCACAGGGAACATATCTGACATGCCAACCATAGCAATTGGAGTCTAATAAACAACAACAATTTAGGAAACAATAAAAAAACGTTAACATTTGGCCGGACCGAACATTTAATACCCTCAATCATGAGGTAAACATTTATAAAAATAAAGGCATCGATATTAGATATTCGAACTACTAATGTCAGTGCCATCGGTTGGAATATTTACAATTATCGAAATTTAACAAATCCCATAAAAAATGTGGCTAAAGTAGCACAAATTCCCAATATCCGAATGTACCGTTATATGCGAGCAATAGGAAACCGTGGACCATAGACAACTTTATACCACAGTGGACAAAACCCACAAACTTTCAATACCAAATTTTAAATAATTCCATTGAAAAACGGGTCAAATATCATCCGAATACCATTATCTTGAAGTAAGGTTATATATAGGGTCTATAGGAAAACGAGGTCCAGTATAGCTTATCCTAGACAAAATGTAAACGATAATCCCACATTTTTAAGCTCTACGTCAAGTAATAGGGGCTACACCATGATTCAAACCGAGAGACATAATAATATGCTGATCACGAAAATATACACCTTATTTCTTCTCCGACGAGTATTTGAAGATATTACAAACGGAAGGTCAAATCTAATATACCCTCCTTTCAATGGTGGAGTGTATAAGCAATCTAATGGAGAATACACTCACCACACCACCCGCCCGTCCCCCACCATTAAACAATTTTATTGTAGCTATTTGTCAATGAATGTGCGTATATCTCTCTTGGTTTCAGGTTGTCGCCTTATCTACCACCCATTTCGTAGCAGATTTATGAGTTCATGGACAAATCGAAAAGAAATCCCTATGCTTCAGTTTATCAAGCCACCACCGTGCCGATCAAGGTCAAAGACAAGAAACCGAAGAGGCGCGACAAAAGTGATTTGGGTGAGGATTTTATAGCGCCCGACGGCGGTTGGGCATGGCTGGTATGCATTGCGGCTGGAGTATCGAATGTAGGTGTGACCCGCATCCGCTCAGCAACGACTTCTCTCCAACTAAACTATACCGCTTTCTCTTTCGCATAGCTTTCAATTTATCCCTGCGTACAACAATTTGGTTTCATTTTTAGAGAGCGTTTAGTGGGCTTGGGTCTCAGCAGCTCGGAAATAACCACCATAATCAACACAAATCCAGCAGTGTCGGCATGTACGGGTAAGTCGCGATTGCTTGGAAGATTTTTAAAATACTTCATTGAGTTTTGCTCATCCTTAGGCCTTTTAAATGGACCCATGTTCAGACGCTTCACCTTTCGCCAGGTGGCCATGGCCGGCTCCCTGCTGATATTTTTGGGCATCATCTTAACGGCTTTCTGTGAGACTTTTCTCGGTTACATGATCGCATATGCCTTACTTTTTGGTGAGTACGACTACCGTTGCATTTCTCGGGAATGCCTAAATCGATATGCTTCTGCGTTATAGGTTTTGGCATGGGTATCAGCGTGTCCGCCTCCTCACTGGCCATCAACACATATTTCAAGAACAAACGCAGAAAAGCAGCCGGATTCTCGTGGACAATTACGGGAGTGGGTCCAATTGTTCTGCCGCACTTGGTCACCTTTTTGCTGTCCGTGTACGGTGTACAGGGAACGGTTTTCATATTTGCCGCCCTTTCGTTGCATACCTTCATGTGTGCCCTCATATATCAACCGGTTCGATATCATGCGCCAACGAGTAGTTCCAGCGACGCACAACCGGCATCTGTGCTGGAGGACAATACCCAACACATGTGCAAGTACTGTGAGATGCAGTTGAAAAAGCAAAAAGGCATATTTTCGTCCCAATACCTCTATCAGGATGATGACGAGGACAAGCCGGGCTTCGAAATCATTGAACCCGGCACACCCATGTTGTCGCGAGCCAACGACGGATGGTATGGCTCCAGATTGTCTCTGGCTTCCGGCAAACATCGTTTGCGCACAATTTCCAGCTCCAAGGACATAGAGTCAGTCAATCGTTTCGGTCGCATGATTAGCCAAGAGGAAGAACTCAAACAGAAATCAGTTCTGAAACCCAACAATTTCAAAAGGGAGAGAGATATTGCCCTGAACCAGGGCATACAACACTCCAAATACGGAGGGGCTACCTTGAAATGTACCTGTGCCGAGGAGAGAGCTTTACTGGAACTAAATAAAATCCACGCATTCGATGACATCTCAACGAAGGAGGATCGCAAGGACCTTGACCAGGACAAGAATTCCGAAGATTCGGAATTAAGTGCCTCCGAGATGAGCTTTCTACAAAAGGTCGTTGCCTTCTTCGATTTGGGTCTGCTACGTGATTTCACATTTGTGAATTTGGTGGTGGGTTTGACCATCATTAATTTTGGCGAGCTTAACTTCTCAATATTGACACCCTTCATACTGAATGATTTCGGTCTGGAGATTTCCCAAATTACTCTCTCGACCTCAGTGCTGGGCGGCATGGATCTGGCCACACGATTTGTGATGCCCTTCCTAACCGAGAAGGTGGCATGGGACAATCGTGTATTCTTCCTCATTGGAGTGGTTGGCATAGCTTTGGGTCGCACCGTTATAGCCTGTACCCGCTCATTCCCCGTCATAATCAGCACCTTTGCCGTAACGGGGATCTTCAAGGGTGTACGCACAATTTTCTGGCCTCTAATTATACCCAGCTGTGTTCCATTGAAGCGACTGCCAGCAGCATCCGGTCTACAGCTTTTAATATCCGGTCTATTCACCTTGGCTGCTGGTCCATTTGTTGGTAAGATGTCACGCACACCCACACATACATATGTTTCGTGTGGAAATTAATGATTCGTATATTTGCAGGTCTCATTCGTGATCGTTTCAACTATGCCATTGCCTTGCATTGTCTCAACATGATGACGTTCATTGCAGCCATTTCATGGACGGCCGAAGCATTGATCCGTCGTTATCTACAAAAGCCAAGTACACTGAATTGTGATTGAATATACCTACTTATGTAATATAATTATATATTTAAGACTTTTGAACTTTGTACATTTTCAAGATGTAAATATGAAATAAATGAAAGATTTTTTAATGTATACAAAAAAAAAATATCTAATTTTGGAATATAACCCGGCACAAATTGCCAAAAGTCATTCGTTGCGGAGAAATTTTTTCATGAAACATTTCAAGACCATCAATTTGGAGTTCTGATTCCTTCAATGACAATACTCATGGATGAAAGTGATATCGTCGAAGCGATATTTGTAATGGGTTCGAGTTTAATGTGTGTCTAAGGTCATATATTAGTATTTCGAAATGAAATTGGACGACATCACTAAGCTCTCATAATTCGGACTCGAGAGCAAAAAACTGCCCTTGTTGGTCTAGTCTACATTTAGAAGTCTACACATTAGAAGATGTAGGTATTCTGGCACAAGAAACAATTACGAAAGTATAAATTATAAGGCAGACACGGAACACTGTGTTGAAATTGTGAGAATGTCACGGTGGCTGAAGAAAATGTGGTATAAAATTAAAAATAAATATAAAAATGTAGATATTTTGATATTTTTTTAATTAAATGTTTGTTATGTAAATGTTACTTTTTTATCCATTTCCCCGCTCCAATACAAAAGACATTGCTGATATAAACAGTATCCAATTCGCAATTTAATTGGAGCCTCTCCGCTGTTAAAATCTTGAATTGTGTCAGGCAAATACGTGTAGTTAGAAATCACTTGAAAAAGTGTTCAACTGCTACTTTGCTATTAAACATGTTGCTGGGTTATGTACAATAAATAAACTTGTTTTCATGGCATACTTTTAGGAGCAATGATTATTGACCAAAACCACTAGGGTTGCCAACACACCGAATTATCATTTTGTGATTAAATCATTTGTGAATAAATCATTTAATAAATTTTAAGGATGTTTGGTCATAGGCGTGGTAAAATTAATTCAAGTCAACCTAATTTCAAATAATAACATCCAGTACTGAATTTGGTGTTATTTACGATATCACATTTAACTTCATTTAAAATAGGCTTCCATTGCTGAATTGTGTATATACACGGAATTTAGGGGCATTTGAAGAAAAAATAGATTGTAAATATATGATTGCACAAGGTTGCCTCCTACATTCTATTAATGATCATTGGAAAATATAATGCTTTTGAGGGTTTGGTTGAGTCAATTTTTATGTCTAGGATCTCGTTGGTGTCATACTTTTTTCACCATTTGAGATACACTTTCAAAACCTATTTTTCCATTCTCTTATATCTGCTCTGGTTTTTGAGATATCCACGTAAAAACAGAAGAAAACATATCCCTGACAATGATTGTCGAAGACAATTCCAAATAGCATAAAACAAGTTGTAGCGGATCGAAATGTTCCACTTCTTCTATATTAGTATTATCAAACTTTAAAGGAAATCGAACATTTATATCCAATTTTATATCATCAATCATAAATTCTGGTTGAGAGAAATATTTAGATGTAAAGAATCGCTGAGGGAGATGTATATCATCTTCACATCAGATGTTGCGTTAGCAAAAAATGTTTGTATGTGTGAAACTTGAAGAGAGTTGGATGCTTTTTTCGCTTTCATTGAGCGTTTTGTTTATCAAAATCTTGAACCTTATTTGGGGGAGGTATCAGAACAAATGGTACAATGTCTACCATGTTTATAACATATCTTGTGTTGATGGAAATATTGAGATGTACCAAGCCTAAATGCAATCGGATTTTACATTCGCGTTTTATGAGCTTCATGGTTATTCAAAATTCTAACCCTTTGTGGGGGAGATACCAGAAGAAGTGGTCCGATATATCCCATCTTCACACCAGACCTTTGATTAATAAAAATATTGTGATGAATGCAATTTGAAGATAATCGGACTATTCCTTCACATTTTATAAGAGTTATAATTATTCCAAATTATGAACCTTTGTGAGGGGGGTAGTTGATGGAGAGGACCAAAATTGTCCATTTTCGCACCTGACCTAGCACTGTTGCCAATATTAGCATATGCAAAGTAAATTATATTCTTTGAAAATCTTGACATTTTGTGGGGGGTACCAGAAAGGGTGGACCTATATTGCCCATCTCCGAAATCGATCTCATCAAATCGGATACTCCCTTCGGATACTTGCCTCCTCCAGCCAAGCAGACAGAAGACGGACGGACATCTCTAGATCGACTCCAAATGTTCTGAAACGGAGGGCATAAAAAATAAACTCTAAAGTACTGACTCACTGGTTCCAATATCCTCCTATGTTCCCATAAGAACTACTGACTTACTATTGACATTATTACTAGTGTCTTCTGAATGGCAGGCTCATATAGAATATCTATAGAAAAAAAACATTGCTTGTCTACACTTGGTCAGGAATACTTGTAAAAATAAAAACGATTCCAAAAACTGATTAAAAATATACTAATAGGATTGATGTCTTTCTTTCGAGTTTACTTCCGAATCGTTATGCAGTCCCTAAGTTCCACATGTTTTGACAAGTACAAATTGTTTTTTTTTTTTCGAGAAAAATAAGTGAAAGAAATTGCTTCAATTTGAATCGGCCAAAAAAAAATTCGCCATAAAAATCGTCGAATTATTGAAAAATTTAAAAAGTTATGTTAACCCTTTTATATGGCTTGAGGTAAAAGTGTATACTCAACATAAAGTGGAACGCAAATTATTTAAAAGGTTCTCTAACAAAAGGAAACAAACAACAGAACTACGACGATGAAAGATACCAATAATGTGTTAAGTTAATAAAGCAATGAAACCCACAAATAGTGAGCTGGTTCTGGGAGCAAAAAAACCTTAAATATTCCCGAAGTTTAAATAGACCCTAAAGTACCTGTATACTTCTCTGTTGGATACTAGGCCATTGCATTATCGAAGGAAACGAGAAAGATCGCGGACTAGAAAAATATGGCACACAATTCACAAAAAGAAGAGAATAACTCAAGCGCTGCTGGTCTCTTGAAAGTGATAGTTCGAAATTTCATGCAACATATTTTCCGGTCTTTCCAAAATGCAATGGGAACCGTTGCTTAGAAATTTAGAAGGGTTTTATTTTTTTCTTTATTTGGCATTACTATTCCAAAATATTAGTGCTAATAATAATGAGGGCAACGTTCATTAGCACGTCACGTGTGTAGTAGAAGCTTTGGCCAGAAAAATCGAACTGGGCAACAATTTCGGCAAAATCTAATTGCGTTACCTACTTCAAAAAATTAATTGAAAATAAATCACCAATTATTAAACCTTCCCAAACTTATCTTTCAAAATTTCACACGTGTTAACGGGGTTCGTTTAATTAAACCAACGATATTACGACAACTGCTCACTCGATTGAGACATGGCATCGCCCATTTACCGAATAAATGTCAATGTGTTTATGTTTGCCTGGCGACAAATCTAGCATTGGAAACTACCAAAGTTTTATTCGTGGAAATCCGATAATAAAATGATTTCTACCACCAAAAAAAGGAAGGGTTATTTATTAATGATCCTCTTGAATGCGAAACGGCGGAATTAAAAGAACACTCAGAGTTTATATAGCAGCTCCCAGGTGTGTAGTATGTCAAAAGAAAAATATATACTTGTTTCGGCAAAATTCCACATTGTTTATGACCGATGCAGGTCACAGTGATTGGAAACAGGAATAAAACAGACCAAAATTTGAACAAAATATTTTAATTGTGTGTATATTATTGAAAACAGAATTGTCATTTCATCCCGGCAATCAGTAAATATTGCAAAGCTGTCAGTTTCTTTGAAGTCGAACTTATAAAATTTCTGTGTAAAAAAGAATGTCAGAGTAATACACCCATCCCCTTTCATATTTTAAAAAGTAGTATTTTCTTAATATTTCAAGTTTTATACACCCAGGCACACATATATTTGTTTTATACCCTCCACCTTGGAAAGGAGGGTATATTAACTTTGTCATTCCGTTTGTAACATCCTTAAATATTCGTCGTAGACCTCATAAAGATATATATATATATTCATAATCAGCATAAAATTCTAAGTCGATTTAACGATGTCCGTCTGTCTGTCTGTTGAAATCGCGAATTTAGCAGAGCTATTTTATTGTGTCTAGGATGGTTGGTATTAAAAATGAGATATATCGGTCCACGTTCTGATATAGACCCCATGTAACGGTACCTCCCGATATTCGGTATTTTGATTATTTATGTCACATTTTTTCACGGAGTTCTCTGAAAATTGGTACTTGTAGGTCATAATGGGTCCCTGTGCGTGTGGCAAAACATTGCAGGTATGGGTCCACGTTTTGGTATAGCCCCCATATAATGGTACCTCCCGATATTCTGTATTTTAATTTTTTTTTGCAACATTTTTTCACGGATTTGTCTAAAAATTGGTATTTGTTGGTCATAATGGGTTCCAGCTCCGGTGGCGAAACATTGCATGTATGGGTCCATGATTTGGTATAGCCCCCATATAACTGTACCTCCCGATATTCGGTATTTTAATGGTTTTCGCCACATTTCTTCTAATGTTTCCTTTACCCTAAGGTGGAGTGTATTAAAAGTTTGGCCCGGCCGTACTTAATGTTTTTTACTAGTTTCTGTAAAAAACTTGCCTAAAATCTTCTGGACAACATTTTTGGGTCGAAAAACCTTAATAATAATAATAATAATAATAATAATAATAATAATAATAATAATAATAATAATAATAATAATAATATATTAAGTTTTTCAAAGTATATATTCTTGATCTGCATAAAATTCTATGTCTATTTAGCCTGTCTGTATGTCCGACTGTGGAAATCGTTGTTTCCTCCGAACTTCGAAATGAAGAAGTCCATTTAGCGATGTCCGTCCGTCCATCTGGCTGGAGCGCACGATAACTCTCGAAGGGAGTATACGATTTAGTCCAAACTGGTATATCGTAATATTATTATCAAGCTTAGATCAAGTTCATAGATGGGCACTCCTTCTGGATCCTCCCCCACAAAAAAGTCAACATTTTCAAAAAAAAAAAAAAAAAAACAAAATATTTTATTGCACTGAGAGTTAAGGGATAGTCCGATTTGGTTCTAACTTTGCAAATCCTA